CCAGTGTAACCACAATAAAAAGCAGGAAATATTTAAACATTTTTCTTTTAGTTTTGCATGGAACGAAAGAGTGAAGCAGCGACAGGGGAGTCTGAGGTTGGGTCTGCCTGGCTCTGGAGCTGGAGCTGGAGCTCTGGAGGACGGAACACAACCGTTTTCACACTTATTGTCAGATTTTGTTTTGTGTTTGCGGTCGCCGTTGCCTGCCTCACAGCCTCACAGCCACACAGCCACACTGCCACACAGCCACACAGCCGCTGCCTGGCATCGTTTGGTTTGGTGTGAAATGACGCACAGCCGAGATAACACGTCGCTGGGTGCCACAAGCTGCAACAGTTTTTTATGTTGCAGCTGTAAATGTGGCTACAAAACGGGTGAGCTGAATGTACATGTACCCAGCCAGCCAAACGAATGATGGGAATGGATAGAGGGACAGCGCGGGACGAGCATATGGAGCTGTTTTCTGCTCTGCTCTGCTCTGCTCTCAATTTGTTGTGCCTTTTGTCTGCTCTGATGACGTTCTTCAATTTACAGGATATGTTCATAATTCTGTAAGAGGACACATACAAACACTCAACATTTACTGCCCCCACCCCCCCGCCCCACCAAGCCGTTAGTCAGGAGGCAAACGCCAAAGGCGACTCTTAGCAGGGCACATGGCGTGGGCTGTGGATGTGGCTGAAAGATGGAATGGTGGCACGATAACTCACTATCAGGCACTCATCAACGCCCTTCCTGAACATCAGAAGGAACTCAGAGAGCGAGAGAGAGAGAGAGAGAGAGAGAGCGGGCGGAGTTGAAAGTTAGAGGCAGTAGAAGAAATTTGGAGCGCCAAAGAGCATTAAAGGTGGAAGAATAAATGGGTTTCCCCTCGCAGAAGTGAGCATAAAAGCCAATTTGAAAAGCGTTTGATTTATTCACACACAAGTAATATACGGGTATAGATCAACCTTTTTAACAATTGAATGAATGGTCGACAGCAATGACTACCCGTCGGATAAGACAGGTGGCTAAAACATGCAGAAGAGAGGTCATGGATAGGCATGGATATGGAGCTGGTTGACAGGTGCAATAACAGAATGGAGTATAGATATATATATAGTATATAGTATAGAGTATATATATAGATAACAAGTGCGATTCGAAATTTTAGTTCTTAAATTACTGAAAAAGTTGGCACGGAACACACAAGTTAATTAATTAATTGATTAGTTAAGCGATAAACAGAAAATGGCTGCTTCTGGAGGGGTTCTCAGGTTCTTGTTGAAATATTCTAGGCACTGCCTGGCTGTGGTATTACTGCGGCAAGCAACAAAATCATTAGTCAAATAATATTTGGACCAAGAACAGTGCTCCAATCGGTTGCATTTCAGCTGCTGCTCAGGCTGCTGTTTTCTGCCATCGGAAATAGAATCCTGCGTTGCGTCAGCGTCTATATGGGCGCAAAGAAAATCCAAGGAAAATGCCATAAATCGTTTCAGTTGAGGAAACAAATGAAGTTCTCATTATGCTGGAACTGCTGCCAAGGCTTGTGTCCTTTGGTTGTCTGCTTTGTTCTCTGCCTGCAAATATCTCAGTTAATTTGAAATTTTTTCTTGTTGTATTCAATAAAATTTCATTATCTATCGATCCTGAGCTGTAAGTGCCACACTAGTGGCACGTGGCACGTACAGCAGTGTCTGATAAATATTGAAAAGTGTTTGTGTGCTTGAATATGAATTTACATGTGTCCAAAAGGAGCTGTGGCAGTGGGAATGATGCTTTCTGTTCGTGTTTGACAATAAGTTTCAATTCCTTGTGTGCGTGTGTGTGTCTCCCCACTCCCCCACTGTGTGTGTGTGTGTGTGTGTGTGGGTGTAATGCGAGCAACACTTATCAAAAGTTTGTCGCTAACACATGCAAATTGAAATGTGCGATTTACACACGCCCACACGTGCACACTGAGGAACGGCATGGCACGGCATGGCACGGCACGGTACTCACACTCGCATTTGGTCACACTGTTGTCACACTCGTTGTTGCTGTTGCTGTTGTTGTTGCTGTTGCACACACACACACACACACACGTACGCGACACATGCAGCTCCTGCTCCAGCCTCTGCTGCTGTTCGTCCTTGTCTACATGGCCTCCAACTTTCGCCTGCTTTAACACCTAACAACCAAAGAACAACTTGCGCCAAACATTGTCCTCTTGCTGTCCTTGTAGACGCTGCATACTTATTATTGCTCCAGCAGGTGTTTGTCAGAGAGTGAGACAGAGAGTGAGTGAGAGAGAGCGAGTGAGAGCAAAGACTTTTACAAATTCAAAATTCACATACACCTGTCCCCAATCACAAACTCCAAACCTGAAACGAAGCCGAGTTCCCATCAGCCCACCCACTCTCCCACCCACTCTACCATTCAGACTTCGTCTCTTTGGGCTTTGGGCTCTGGGCTCTCCTTCTTTTGTGTCGTGGAAGACTTTGAACACGAGTTTTAGAAACAAAAGTTTTTTGGTTTGGTTTCTTCGGCTCCGTCGCTGTGCCGGAAGTTTTTCTGGGAATAGAAGAGCGCACACAGTGGGAAGGATTAGTTAACCATATATACATACATATGCATAAACGTATGTACATATATGCATATGCATATATGTATATGTTTGGACGTGTGACAATAATCCCTAAATGAAATCTCCGCTTTGCAATTCATCGTAACTTTTGTGTCTACAACTCTTTTGTTTTAAATATACATATATTGACTTTGAAGTGGAGTTCAGTTCCCTTTCCTTGCCCCTAGTGTGCCAGCAATTTGTTAACTATTTCCCAGAGTTGATCTTAGATTTTGTGAAGTTTAAGCCTAGATTTCAAGCCAAGGGAGAGCCGTCTAGCTGTGGATATTCACATATGATTATGGCCAAGGGCTGCTTGGGGGGTGCTATCCTTGGCAACTACTGCGCATAATTGCAGCTCGTCGAGTGTGCAAAGTTTTTCGAATCGCAGTTTGATTTGTTGCAGCAAACATCCGTTGAAGGAGGAGGCTGCAGGCAGGCATAGCGGCAGAGCCAGAGACAGAGCCAGAGCCAGTGCCAGCCGAGTGGCGCAGCTGCAATTCATTTAACCGATTCTTGTGCTAAAAATTGCATAATTGCATCATTATGCCACGCCCTCCCCCCCGCCCCCACCTCCTCCCCTACGCGCATTCGTAATTGAGTTATTAAGCGCAAAAGTTGAAGACACCCGAAAACTCTGGCCACAAAGGGGCTGCCGCTGGGGCGCTGGCGCTGGCGCTGGCTGTGGCGGTTTGCATCCACTATTTAAGATGAGTGGCACCCGCTGACAAGCTAAATACGAGACGCCTTACCCCCACACCACCCACCGCCCACCACCATGCCGCAGAATATCTAACGTCTATTAGATAATTAAGCCACTTTGTGGCAGGTTTGACAGGCCTGACTTTGGACGTGTCATCAGCCTCAGTCTCAGTCGAAATCTCCAGCCTCAGTCGAAGTCTCCAGCCTCAGCGAAATTCCCCTCGCTCCTTGTGCTGGCCAGCAGTCTCGAGTCGCGCTCTCAGTTCGTATCTGGCGGTCTCGTCCTCTGACAGTTAAAGTTCAATTAAATTCTGTGAAATTTTCACATTTTCTGACATTGAAATATTGAAAATTATGTCAATTGGGATTCGGTTCTCGAATTGGGATAGGGATTGTGTCGCCTCTTTATCTGACAGAATGCAGAATGCAATTCAAACTTTTTTGGTGCGCCCCAGAAAAGTTTTGTCCTTATGATGGGCCATGGGGTGGGAAGGGAGTGTGTGGCACGGGGGGGACAGCCAAAGAGGAGCAGTTGTCCTTTAGATGGCAGGCAGAGTAAGCGCTCGAACGGACTGTGGTTCAGGGACAAAGGATAAGGAATAGCTGACAAAAAAATACCATAAGGTGGGGGTAGAGGCGGCGAGCCTTTAATGGAGGGGAAACAAATATGGGAGAGTGAGCAATACGCACAGCGGACACCAGAGAACCCATCGAATCGATTGCAGATCACACAAAATATGTTCAGGGACAGGCTGAATTACTGTAGATCTGTGGATAACGCTGGCTGCATAAAGCACACTGTCCAGCGAACGGAGCGGACAGGACAGGCCAGGACAGGACCGGACAGATGATGATGATTAGATGCTTGCCAGCAGCAAGCCCTGCCATCAGTGGCAATGACAGCGACAGCAACAGCAATAGCAACAGCAACAGCGAAGGAGGCGCCCAACCGCGTGGATGGCACCTCGACTCGGCCCCGCAGCACCTCCGCGCCCATCCTCAACCGCCGCTGCCACAAGAGCCAGGCCGCCAAATGCCACCACAGCTTGTAGCAATTGTCGTACCATTTGTCAGACGGACGAGTCGACACTCCTCCCTCGTCGCACAGGGCGCATGTGCCACAATTGCCGGCCACACAACGCCCCGCCGCTGGCGCCGCCAAGCGATGCGATCCACCACGTGGCCAGAGTGTGGAAGCCATGCGGCACATGGTGGACGCCGTTCGTTTCGAAAATCCACTTCGACAATTGGCAACGAGCGTTCGCCATGGTGGCACTCGGCTGCAGAGCTCGGCCTGCGCGTCGGCCCCAATATCCAACGGCTGGCGGCGACGGCCGGCGCTCGTCACGGCTCGTTTGTCCTCGGTTCGGTGTGACGTGACTCGTCTGCTATGGGGCACGAGCCGGCGTTCGTTGTCTCGGTGCCGTGCGGAGGCTGTGGCCCCATGCTGGAGCCTCTGCTTTCAGTTGATCAACAGCGTCATTGTCGGCTGGTTGGACGCGGGAGTCGAACTCAAACACGAACCGAACCCATCTGCCGCTATCGCTGCCACAGACAGCGCTGCCACCACACAACAGTTAACAGTTGCACGTCGCACTGTCCGCTGCTGCCAATAATTATTTGAAATTCAAAACAAAAATTAATTAAAATTAAATAAATAAATACAGTACCGGGAACCCACTTTCGTGTGTGATACATATATTTTTTTGGATTTTTTTTACGGATATACTACATACACCTGTGAAGTGAATCAAATAAATCGCGTACCGATCGCAAATGTCGGAGAGGAATTTTTAAAAGCCCCAAATGCGAATCATATCGAAACTGTATCCTCGCGGCCCCCTCGATCGCAATGGGAAAATGCTGATCCTGCTGCTGCTTATCGTAACGCTGACGGAAGGTAAAAGATCAAGGAAGCCTCACACAGAGTGTTCCTCAGCTCAGCAGCTCTGGGAAATGTTGAGCAGCATAAACACTCGGCGAAAATGTGCATTAAATAATAATAGTTATGCCACAGTGTTATGGTTTTTGTAAAAAAAATACTGAAGCAAACCGTCGAACATGGACAATTATACAAAATATTAGCATAATATTATTTTCCGTTGGAAATTGTGTCCATAATATGTTCGTTTAAATTGCATCCGCAATAAGTTTTGTTGGTTTTAAAATCCCTGATGATTTTATTCGCTTTCTTAGTTATAAATCCTCTTTAATGTTCGAAAACTCGGTTGTTTTTTTATTATTGCCTCACTAAAAGTGGAACAATGGGAATTGATAGCTAAAAATATAATACAAAGACTGAATATTTTTGAGTGGAAATTGACAAAATCCATAAGAGATAAGTTAGACTTATGTACTCTGCGGAATTTGAACTACCTTCGAATGAAAATGTTTCATATTGCTAAAACGAAAGCAGAATGCATTTTTTATTATATGAGAGCTGGGCATAATTGATATCAAACCAATGAGCGCATTGCGATCGGAATAAGTACTGTACAAAATCATGATATTAAAGGGACTACTATTTGGGAGTTCCTCATCAAAAATGCAATTTTCAAAGTATTTTTCTATGCGACAGATTCGACAACTATTCTGACAAATTGCAAACATATTTTTCTGTCAGCTCATAAAATGTTAACCATTTGGAGACTAAACAAACAAAAGGAAATTAAAAGTTTTAATCCGGCGTTTAACCAGCAATTAAAATCTGAAAAAAACAAACAAAAATTGCCATAGCATACTTATTAGCGCATTTCGTTGATGATTTGTATTTCGTTCTGGAAGCTGCTTTGTGAAAGCCACAGCTCTCCTGAAAAAAGTTGCAATGTGCATTTGAAAAAGTTTTTTTTTTTATTTCGAAATAAACTCTTTATTTACCACATGAACAAGGGATTTGGAGACAGAGACACGTGCGTTCACTAGATATATATGAGGTTGACCTAAGAAAGAGTTGTTCCTCTCTTCATGAAGGTTGATCAGAATGGTTAGCATGATTAAAATTAATAGGTACAATATTATGTAGAAGCTATTCCATGAACTCGTTGCTACATCGCATATTCAAGGATATTTTATATGTATATAATATCTTAGGGGAATTCTAGAAACTGCATTTCTAATAAAATTTGCCATGTCCACTCCTAACACACATTTATTATGCAACAAAGAAAGCTCCTCAAAGATCCGAGTAAGATTGAGACGATTTTTCCTTGAATAAGAAGACTCTTGTGGATGCATTTGTAGCGATCTTGGGAATATCTCTGCTTGGCCACGACTGACAGCCCGTAATCAGTGTTGTGCTGTGCTCGAATGACAGCCGGACATGGCTGAATGCCAGCCCGTAATCAGTGTTGTGCAGTGCCCGACAGCCATGCGAAAGGGAAGAGCTATGATATGCAGGCAATTGAACGTAAACCGACTTGATAATTGTTTCGACGTAAAGTGAGTTTATTAAACCCTTAGGTGGGACAGCAGGGAGCGTGGAGTGTGGTGTGTGGAACGGGCGTTCGGTAGTGGAGAGTGCGATTAATAACGGCATCTGATGTCCCGTTGGCTGTTGGAGACTGCTTAATGCACTGTCATGGCTACAAGTCCGGCCATTGTCCGGCTGCATTGTTGCCATTGCCAATTGCCATTTGGCATTAAAACGTATAAATAACAAACAAACAAATAAATAAATAAAATACATACACACATACACATGTGTGTGAGTGTGTGCACGAGCTGTGCAAAAACAAGCAAAGCAAAAGACAACAACCAATATCGAGCACTGAACAGTGAGCACTGAACAGTGAGCACTGAGCACTGAACAGAGAAGAGGGAACACTGCACATTGAATGGCAATTTAATTGACTCTCCGGCTCCTCGCCCGCCGACTCATTGACTCATTCCCACCCACCCACTCGCACTCACGCACTCACTTACTCCATTCGCCAGAGCGGATTCCAGCGATACCGCGGATTCATTGTTGCTATAAAATCTGTTCGGCTTATGCCTCATATGCGCCGGCCAGCGGACAGTGCGTGTCAAAGGTATTAAATTGAATTTGATTAGCGAACAAAAAATCAAAATCATTTTAAGCTTGATTTCAGCTGGTTCCAAAAATTCAATCCATAACGGGCATCCAATTTTTCAGCCAAACAACTCTCATTGAACGGAATAGTGCAGACAAACAGTTTGGGCTTTCCACTCTAAATTGGGATCAAATAAATAAAAATCTGATTTAATGGGAATCGATAGCATCGCCAGCTTCTGCTGTAATCCCCAGAGTTTCGTTTTGCAAAAGAATTAACCGAATGCGTTTAATTTGATGAATTTCGAAAAGATTTTATTTTGAGTCCAAAAAATCTCTATAAGCGACATGATTTTTTTTTTGCAGGGATATTTCTTCGTTTAGTTTTAAAGTCGAACATCAAGCGGTTTCAGTTTCAGCAATTAAATATTAATTTGGCTTAGACTTCTAGTCAAATGAATGAAAAAACTAACACTGGTAGTTCGAGGTTCTATGTACTCACGAGTATAAATCGGACAAAATCGTCAGCTTATAGTTTCGCAACGCACTGTACGCTCACTCATCCGTACGCACATATATCTCTTCTCATTTTAATTGCGTAAAAATTATGTTTTCACCTGCCGTTCCCCCCGTGTCCCGTGCCACGTGCCCAACCGCAGCACCGCCTGACCGACCACCTGCCTGGCTCATTGTCTGCCTGTTGTCCTGGCTGCTGGCTTCTGGTTACTCTGGCGCTCTCGGCTCCTGTCTGATGTCTGATAATTATAAAAAATGAAGTGCCAAATTGTTCACGTCGGCGCGACAATCGCAAAATACTTTCCTTCCTGGCATTAAATATTTATATATGTAAAGGGAATTGTCATTGCCCATTGCATGGCATTGTTTTGTTTTGTTTTGTTTGTTTTTTTTTCTGTAAAATAGTTATGCCATTGTTTCATAGCAATTTTTGGCTACCGATTCTGCTATTGTATCATTAATATTGGTGTGGTTTAGCTGTTCAATATGTTGCGTTAGAGCCCACGGAAGTTGAGAGAGAAAGATCATCTCTGTAGACAGAAGAACATTTAAACATAAATAACAATCCAATATATTCTACACTAACGTTTGAATGTACCGAAAAGAAAAAGAAAAGGCAAAAGCAGACAGATACTATATCCTTACATTAAGGGCCTGTAATTATCATGTCAAGATGCGATTTTTTTAAATATCAGTCTCAAAATTCTCGTTCTTGTTTTTTTATTCTGAAATCTTTTAAACATTTAATACAAATTAAATTACATTTGTGGACTATGGGAAATACATTAAATTCCAATGTTTATTCCCAGCAACAATTTGACTATATAATAATTATATATTGCTGCATAATTAAGCCACTTCCGAAAATAAAACCGAACAAACCCGATCTAAGAAATTAAAGAGATATCACTTAACATTTTGTACTTCTTACATTCAAGCAAAGCAAAAACTATTGCCATAAAGTTGATAATTATGCATGAACGTTGGTGGGGTTGCGGGGAGCGCCCACGCTTCGCTTCGGGGTCCAGTCCGGGGCATTCCAGCGCATAAATATTAAATGCATGCAGATGTACATATTTAAAGCACTTAAATCACGGCAAACAATAATTCCCCAGCGATAATAATAATAATAATAATGAAGGGGGGATGGGAATGGTGGATCCCCATGTAATGGTAGATGATAATGATAAACATAAAAGTGAAAATAATTTTCAATTACAGCAACATTAATAACCGATAATAATCCTAAACAAATATAAACGAACCCAGTCACAGTCACGACTGCCAACTTCAGTGTGTGCATGCGTGTGTGTTTAAGTGTGACAGTGTGTGCATGCGAGTGCCTAACCGTGTGTGCCAGTGTGTGCATATCAATGATATGCAAATTAATTGCCGAGCATTTGGCATTTGGCAAATGCAAGCGCGAATAGGGGGGAATGGGATGGGATGGGGATACATGCCAATGCCATGCCAGGCATCACTGTGTACTCCCCTCCGCTGTGTTACGAGTATGTAAGCTAAACCGCAATATGGCTTGCATAACACTGTGCAATAGAGAGAGCAATAGTGGGAGAGAGAGACAACGAGAGAGAGAGAGAGGGGAGAGATGCTTTGCTACTTTTAATGGCCATTTGGCTGCTGCCGTTGCTGCCCTTGCTGCCGTCCCCCGAGTGACTTAATTGATACCAACAACCACCAGAACCTGCAACTAGTGAGCCAACAACAACGACAGCAGTAGCCAGATTTTTTTTATTTATTTATTTCGATGCAGGGTACTCGTGGTGCGCAAGGGTATGTTGTGTTTGTTTAGAAGCGAAAGAGAGAGGCACTTTAAAGACCCAATAGTTACATGAAAATATTAGGCAGATAGAGCAGGCGATGGAGTGCATAGATTGATAGAGGCAGTAGCCGTTCTCATGCGATCAATTTGTGTATATCTTCGGGAGCAGTGAAATACGATTTCCATAAGTATTTCCACTTAGAATATTTGGAAACCTAGATATACCTTGATATATCTATCTCTCCATATTCTATCAGCACTTGCTTGTGGGCTGAATTCTCTTTTGTTTCTCATTTTGCAAACATAACTTCGTATTTCCATTAGTTGGTTTTGCTACTTAAGACTTAAAATAAATACATCTGAGTCGGCGGTATCCCGCCCGTCGAAATACGCGACTTTAGCTTACTGACTTGCTTTCTGTTTTCTGTTTTCTTTTATTGCATATTTCGTATCTTTTTTAATCTTTTTTTTTTTTCGTTTGCACCATTTTTTTATATATCCTCTTTGTGTGGCATATATTTTTTTTGTTCATGCAATTTTTTACGTCGTTGGCGGCGGTTCTTCAGCTTTTAGTGGACGCGGTCAGCGCCGGCAG